AAAAAAAAAAAACGGTGGTTAAGAGGATTGCCCACTCGGTGGAGCTCGTCGGGCCGTGTGTACTTATGTAAGAATCGGTGCTTTTATCCTTTTCGGTGTACATATGTATATGTATACGTATAAATTTGTACCTATACAGCGCCCGCATTTTCTTCCTCGGCTATTGGGACGCTTGACTAGTTTGGCGCGTACATGTATACCAGTGCATTACATACGCGTAAGCTGATAATATGCGTGTTTGTACAATATACGCTCGGATGCGGCGATCGGGGCATGATCGTCATCTTGTGCAGCGTCCCAGTCGGCGGGTGGTACTTATGTTATTACTGATGATGTGTTTGCCGGTGGGTAAAGGATAATTTTTTGGTGAAAAGTGCACGTCCCAATGTGTAATCATGATCGTGTGAATTGGATTTAAATATATCTTTGTCGAGGATATCTTTGCACCTCAAAAAAATAACGAATCAAACAGCAGGATCGTGCAACGTCGATACACACAACGAATTATTTACAAAAAATTCTGAAAGATATATCGCCAATTACAGTAAGTGCATGACAATTAAATGATCGGTAATGTTTCTCTGCCAACAAAAATATACAAATTTATTTTCTCGCTGATGCAGAGTCATTGGAAATCAATGTTCTCCCTGACGTTTCTCTTCGTCTACCCTACGATGATTCGTCGACGATTACCATCCATTTGGACTTTTTTTTTGTTGGTCCCGCGCCTCCCAGCCCAACTGAAATCCGTGGACGCCACCCAATTTAGAGACATAAAGCAAGTTGAAAAAAAGAAAAAAAAAGTTGTAATTTGGTAAAACAAGCGTTAAAGAGAAGCACATGAGTATGAAAGAGCGGGCACCGATAAATGGCCCATCCCCCCGATGGTTTTCTCGAGTGCACTTTCGAATCGACGACACTCGCACGTAAACCCGACACCCCCAGGGCGAGAGGCTAATGGAGAAGCCTCTCGACGTGAATGGCGTCATAGAAAGAGCCTCGGAGGAGAATCTCGACGCTAGTCTCACCCCTCATAGTCCTCTTGGGGGTCAACAGCTGGCTTGTATCGCGCGCACGGCTTTTCCCTGTACGCGAGATACCATAAATCCCTCTCCCGTTATGGTAGGTAGGTACTCGTCTGTCAAAACAGACGCTCCAAAGTGCGCCTCGGCGACAATGAAAGGCGCGTGCCTCCGAAAATCGTCGCGTTATTTCACGTGGTGTACAACGCAGCGACGATTTATCACATTATATTATACATTACTCGGAGTCGAATGGGAGGTATTGTGCGCAACTCCCGGACTTTTTGCGAAATTATCGGCCCAGGAAAACGTGAATGCCCGCCGGCAACGAGCACCACTTCAGTGTACATGCGTGTATACAGCAGTGGCAGGACACTCGGGGGCCGATCATCAATTACAATTGGATATAAATTGAAGGCAGATGCGTCGACGACAAGTCGTGTCTGCGATCCCCCTCTTTCGTGTATAGTTATGTTGTTTTCGGGAATATATATATATATATATATATATATATGTACGTAACGAGACCTCCAAAGGGGACACGCGCGAGTGCGTGTGCTCCTCCTACTTTGCTTCCTGTCTCTGCCCATGTGATGTGCGTTTTATTCCTTCGGCTCACCCTTCCACCACCCGATATTACCATTTTTGTTGAATTTCCAAAATGGTCGTTTTGATTCGGTTGACAACGTCGGTATGTATACTCGGTATTTTTTTTTTATGATTATCTTTTGCCGAAAATTATTCTCAAGCTTTATTTGCCTCATGATTTTTCGATTTAAACTTCATTAGACTTACTTCACTGCGTAATAAACATGACTTGTTGTAATAATTGCAACTCACTCGTTCTACTTTAAACTCGGTTTGCAAAATTTATTTGTTAAGTACTAATCACCCCCGACACTACATTGAGTTAACTTTCTATGAAATTATGAACTATGATTTTATCAATTATTATTAAAATGTATGACATTAAAGTCCAGCTGGTGTATACAACGTGTAGCCTATAATTTTTATAGTTTTAAAAATAACATTGATTTTTATAAAAAGTCTATAAAAAAAAAAAAAAGAAAAAAAGTAAGAAGTCATGGGTAAATTTATCTTCAATTCCATAAATCTAATGCCACTAAGATTCTTGTTAAAATGTGAAAAAGTTATTGCAATCTTCCTTTTAAAAGTTAAATTTGCGCAAAAAAAACAATTCATAAATTACGGTGAAAATGTATTTTAAACTATAATTCATAATTTATCCTAGCCTCTAATAATAAAAAGAAAAAAAAAAAAAAAAAAAAAAAAAAAAAAAACGACGACGACGACAACGTAAGAACTTGAGATATAAAAAAAAAAAAAAAAGAAAAGCAAAAGAGATCTTTCTTGTAAGCTGTACGTCGACTGTATCACCATCACCTGCGCAACTTTTCCATTTACAGGCACATTGTACGATTACATTGTCCATCGTTGTCATCGTCGTCGCAGACACTATTAATCACCAATCCCCCGCTTGTTGCCAGCCTCTTCGAAATTTCCGAAATCTTCTCTGAAAAAGGAGCGACCTATGCCATTCCTTTTTTTATCCTCGAATAAATAGGGGCGTTCCGAGGGACAGCTTGATTGTGTACAGCGCTCTTTGAAACCCGCGTGAAATCAGAGAGTGTAACTTTTTTTTTTTTTTTTTTTTTTTTTTTTTTTTTCCAGTAGGATGAAACGGTGGTGAGGTGTATTATTGGATGATGGTGTTACGTGTTCTTTTCAAGTTGATAGATAGGTACTCGCAGCATATTTTCAGCTACAGCTCCTTCATGCATTTAAATCTCGCGCGAGTTACTTACCATCATATTACTTTTCTTTTGCTCACGGACATACAGTGGATATTACGAATCATTTTAGAGATTTTCCTTTATAATTATCTCTGATGAGAGTTTTTACCATAAACTGGACGACAATTATAGATGTCTCGCTCTAAAGAGACGAATGCTCCAACAATAAACTGATGTACAGTTAATCACAACGATTCTCAGTGACCCCCGATGGCGAGGGGCGGGTCAACTAAAATAATATACGCGGGAAGAAATTTTCATCGAGTGGATTCGTACAGGATTCAATACCCAATTTTGCACAAATAATGTGTATATTCCTGTAATTCAACGCATATTTAATAATTCATTTACAATAGTTATGAGATAAAAATTTATTGTGGGCCGATTGTACCATGCGATCGACTACTCTGAACAATGACACGCCCGAGAGTCATAGAAATAGACCCATCATAATTTGTGTGAAATCCTTTGCGAATCCACTTGATCACAATCTCTCCCCGTGTATATTGTCCCAAGGTAACCCTCCTTCGCCACAAGTGCATGGTGTGTGTGTGTGTGTGTGTGCTTCGTGACGTGTACTCGAGTTTTCTACAAATTTTGTATAAATATACTCTTCAGTGCACCGCCACATCCTCCAATTATTCATCTCCACGTGTCCCCCTGCCTCTTCCCCTCGACAAATCCCTCAGTTGTAAATCGAAATCCCAGCACTAAACCCCGTGAAAACAGGCGAAATCACGCGTGCCCTTCACGTCCACCTTTTACCAATCCGTGCGATCTCCCTCCCGCCCCTTTTGTCAATAAAAGCCGAGAGAGAAAGGACAACTGGGGCGAGCCGCGATATAAAACCTGCCTGGAGGCGTCCAAGTCACGCGAGGGGGTCTCGAAGGGGCGCCCCTAGCGCCGCGGGCGAAGGAGAGCTTATCTGCTTCCTCTTGCTGTTGTGCTTTGGCCCTGCGGGACCTTTTTTTTTTTTTTTTTCTAGTTTACAACGAGATCCGCTTAGAAGTAATCGTCAAACTTCGACACGATCTCAAAGTCAAACTGCACACGTAGGGAAATTTAAATGGGTCTCCGAAAATGGATTTGTCTTGCTTATCGGCTACAACATTTCAAGTCTTAATTAAATAATATATATGGATGGTGTACGATGGTAAGGTACAGACAGAGTGAAGGGGCAACTTTTTTCGTTATTTCTTACCTTTTGCCGTCTCGAGGAGACAGTACAACCGGAGACCTGCAACAGGAGTAATTGCGTTGTTTCGAGACAAGTCGGGTCGATGTAAGCCGATAGCCCGCGCTCGACGGAATTCTTATAAGAAGCCCTGCAGGTATACGTGTGCTCCAAGATCGAAGAAGAAAAGGGGGCGAATCGACGTTCCCACGCACACGCATGTGCGTGTATTGCCGTGTGCATCGGTATATTCCGTTGAAAGTGAGTATAATATATACACTTAGTCGCCTTCGGGTTACTTTCGTGAATAAGAGACTCGGCGACAAAAGCGTGGTGAAGATCAAAAATTTAACTGAAAAATAATTAGTTTCCAAATGGCACGCAATAATTGTCAGTTCTGTTGTTACATGAGGGGAAAAAAAGAGAGGATAAATACATGTACACACGTGTCGGCTGATAAAGTGGCGTGTGTCACCGGAACTTTATTAGCGTTATCATACTGCTTCCTGTGGTTAGACGATACCGAAGTCAACCGCTCTTTACGTGCAATAAAAATAACCATGTCTCTGTCGTCAAAAATTGAATTGATCTTTATTTTTTTCTTTTTTGTTTGTTCGATTGTTCGTTTGCTTCGAATTGCAAGCTCAATTAATTGATATGCTCCATCTGCCCGCCGGCAACGAGCACCACTTCAGTGTACATGCGTGTATACAGCAGTGGCAGTCAATCTCTCTCTCTCTCTCTCTCTCTCTCTCTCTCTTTTGTGCTCCGTAAAAAAACATTTGTAGTCCACTTTACGGTCCAATGTGCGAGCCCGTGTATTTTCATTTGTCGACTGCTCATTTTTCTTTTCCTCCTTTCTCTGTGCCAACGCCAGTGGAATTCGTTCAAAAGTCCTTACCTGCTCAAGGTTCTATGGTGCATATCAGTACCTTTCCCAAGCTGCACCGATTTTTCTCTCTCACAAAATTAATGANTATTATATCCACTGTAGCCTTTTTATGGCTCGATTACACTTAATATAATACATAAACAAAAATGACAAAAAATTAGTTTAAAACGTTCTGGTGGTAAAATAAAGAGAAAAAAAAAAAATCGCTTCGAAAAAAAGAGAGAAAAAGACAGTACGAACGCGTATTTTTCATGTATGCGTTAAAATCTACTCCGGAAATCATCGTCTGCTTATTCACGCGCGAGGCGTGAATTTTATCTCTCTTTTATCGTTTTTTTTTTCCCTAACTACACGTAACTTTCTCGTAGAAAAGTTTATAGTTGTGATAACATTTTTGTCGCCGATTTAAAAAAAAAAAAAAACTTAAAAAGTCAGTTCGAGATCCTCTAATGACGTTGGTACCTCGAAACGTGTCACGAGAACCCTTTTTTCCCTCCATCGTTCACATGTGTAGTAATCACAAAATCTAATACGCGCGCAACCTAACCTCCATCTCGGGATCCTGGCGGTGATTCCCATGTGGCTCGATACCAGTTCCAGGCGCAGCTCCTGGCACGCCAAGATGGGCGTGATGGCTCGCGTGATGGTGGTGATGATGATGATGGTGGTTTAAGTGGTGAGCCGTCGGTAATCCAGCTGCCGCTGCTGCCGACTGGGTACGATAGGAACGATGTTTGTCCTCCATGTCGCGCATACACCGATTGTAGCGTTCGATTTGCTCGCGTAGGAGAGCGTCCTCCTCAGCGGCGCGATCCTCGTCGAATTCCAGACAGGCAAGACCATCCAGACGCTCCAGGTCGATCCAGCCTCGCCACGTCACGCACACGCCATTCATTATCAGGTGGGATTTTATGTGCACCTGCAATTTGACAAAAAAAAAAAAAAACATATTAATCAATACACTGCCTCAAATATGGAAACAACGTTTGTATCATATATAGAGAAATTTCTTTGTCCCCCGGAAATTTTCAGTCATATTTTTTAAAAGATTTTCCTTTTTTTAAATATATCATGGTAAAAGGAGGAAAAAAATAATCAATTGAGCGTTACTTTGTCTAACGACTTTGGGTCTAGTTTTGCTAACATAATGAGTCTCTTAGATACAGTCAAAGCATATTTTTTAAACCTTAAATTACAAGTTCTTGTAAAATTGTGACCTAAAATAATATAATTTAGACTAAAGTTCTGTTTGGAGATTCAGTCTTGTCCCTCTCCCAATTATACGATGTTAGAGTTTTACTCAATTGAAGATTGTGATTCTTAATAGTACCAATAACCAAACCCTGCCACTTATAGATAAATGAATCAGAAAAACAAATTGAAATGTCGTAAAATCAGGAATATTTTTTGTTGTGAAAATTTCGTCAAATATATTTTTCCACAATGCATCATTCGTCACCTTATGAACACAAAGTGAGGGATAAAAAAGAAAGGAAGAAGAAGCACGGGAAAAAACGCGCAAGTTTTTTTTTTTTTAGCAATCAGTTTGCAAAGGGGGAGGAGGTTCCCTGGACCGGCTCCTGGAATTGAAAACATCCCGACGTGCGAGTTCGATCGCCGACTTCCCGTGGCTCGATTATAAGGCAAAACAGTATCCAGCCGTGCGAGCGAGCCTTATGCCCTCGGCCTCGTTCCACCAGTCAAAACACAATATGTGCTTTCTTCTCTTGCAATTACCGACTCTCTTGCTTTTTTTTTTTTTTTTTTTTCCCTCTTTTGAGAAGACCCAATTGACACCTTTTTTATTATTATTATTCAGCTTGGTTCTCTTTTACCCTCGATGTGCGATGGTTTTCGTTTCATGAAAAAGTGACGCAAACGTGCAGAATTGTGGAATAGGTACATTGGGGGGAAAAAAAAAAATTTTTTTAGTATAAATTGGAACTACCTACTTGCGCGGTAGTACGCTATTTTTAGTGAAATAATGACACACACGACGAAAAAAAAGCGTTCGATTAGACATTGTTTTTTTTTTTTTTTTTTTTTTTTTTCCTCTTGTCCACTGCACTTTGGCAAGGATCTGCTTTATGTTTTTTGTTTTTTTTTCTTCAAGCCGAAGTTTCCCAAATGTATGGGTCTGTAGGAGCTCGAAAAGGAAAATTTAAAAAGATCCCGAATTGGATTAGNCGCGGTAGTACGCTATTTTTAGTGAAATAATGACACACACGACGAAAAAAAAGCGTTCGATTAGACATTGTTTTTTTTTTTTTTTTTTTTTTTTTTTTTTTTTTTTTTTTTTTTCTAAGGCAGAGAGAGGCGAATCTGGTTCTCAAGAACTATTAGGCTAGAACGATTCCCGAGGAGAGATTTCCGGTGTTGTGCACCCATATAGCCAGACAGACTCTCTCTCTCCCTCGACAGAAAATTGCAAGCTATTCCGGATTCTCATAAATAAGAGAGAGAGAGACTTTCCTCCGTGACTGGCTTTTCGGAGAAAAAAGTAGGTAAAAGAATCACAACGTAACTTCCATAGTCTTCCCTCTGTCTCTCTCGTCCATCATGTGTATTATTTACAGAGAGAGAGAGAGAGAGAGAAAAATGAATTACACCACTTGTATATAATTTCTCCACAATATAATTTTCAACCACAATAAATGCATATACTTTTCAAACAAATACTGAAGCAGCACCATACCCACCGATACCAACTTCAGATTCACGAGTAACAAACATTGAATCACGTTTGATTTTATTTGTTATCCGTATCTTCAAGAGTCTCTTATTGTTTAAAAAAACAGTTTTTTACCAAATCGTGATAAAAAAAAAAAACATGACAGCAACTCGCTGGCCGTATGGTCTCTTGAACGACGAGAGAGAGAGGAAGAAACGGTGAGTGACGAATGTACATATAGTGTCCGCCTGTATCGTATACAGCAGCAGTAGTTCTTTCTTTCCCGAAAAAATCGTCCCGGTCACGCCCCAAAGCACGTCCACGTATACCTATATACGGGCAAAAACAGCACAGCAACAACCGACGGCAGCAGTTGAACAGATCGCCCCACTTACGTCCTACTCGCGTGTCGTGTCCGACGACTACACTATATATATCATTATATGTGCATAGGTAACCAGTGGCCAGTTTGCAAAGGCGTGCGATGCACAAACGCCATAAATTAACGGCAATTGTTGAAAATCATTGAGCGACCGCGTGTGCGTCAGGGGGTGAAGGATAACGAAGGAGAGAGAGGACGTGCACACACGATTTACATGACTTTTTTGCCCCAACCGTTACTTTGCTCTCTGCCCTAGAATCTACCTTTATACTGTCATTTTTTTTTTTTTTTTTTTTTTTTCTCCCAAACATGCAAATGGGCAGCAGCGAAAGGGTTGCCAGACGAAATATCGCCGCTCATTACTACCCCGTAATGGCCGTCACGCCCATATTCACGCGTTTGTTTTTTTCGAATCCACCTCGTGCCTATGCCCATTATATCATGGTGGGAAAAGGGTTGCCAATGGCTGGACCGCGTACGTAGTTGGGATCGCCTTTTTGTTGGTTTTTAACTATCGGAGAGGGGGAGACAGCGTTGATTAATACATGCTCGTTTGCATAAACGCGCGGGGCTCATTGTCCGGAATCTTTGACGATTTGACCATTTGATTAATTGTCACATATGGCCTCTAATGATATAAAAACTGTTGATCTAATTTTTATGTTATCATTGGTATGTAGAATTAACATTACCCCTCCCCCCCCCCCAAAAAAAAAAAGAATTGCGGCTTAAAATACAGTCAAAAATTAATATAGCTTTGCATGCTGACTTTACGTGTATTACGTATAGAGAGCTGCTACCTCATACCGCATATAGCTCAGCGGGTGTGTGTCTGCATGTGTATATTTTTTGCTCCTGACCTTTTTTCGAGACGTATAAATACAGAGTTGAGAAGGGGACAATGTGATTCAGGTAAGAGAGAGGAAGGTGAAAAGCGAATAGGGTAAAGGCTGTAAAACTTGGCTAAACGCAGTGCTGTGTGTACCTAGATACATGCAAAGGAAATAAGAGAAGAAGAATCTTTCGGCGAAAAATCGTTCTGCCTCTCTGACGACCCCTGGAGGTGTAGAATAGTGAAACTCGAAAGGTCATGGGATACATAATTTTAAACGAATCTCTGGTACGTACATTTGTAAGACTAGTCCATTTGAAAAATATAATTGAAAAATCTGTATCTCTCTGTGATCACATAGCATGGCATATTGTCTTATAAGAGAAGCATCTCGATCGACTTGAACAATGCAAGTCTTTCTATCTATTTGTATCTAACCATCGCGTTAACCCCGTAACTTTTAAACGTACAGCCCTTATTTAAATTCAAATTTGTGTCAAGTTCAATCACATCTCAAAATGTATGTATGAGTGTACACCCGCTAGCGGATCTTGGTCCACAAATGGCCGTTTTGGCCCCACTGGGCGACGGTACGAGATAAGGCGCCCCCCCCCTTACGTGAAAAGTGATGCACGTCGCGATTGATATTCATACGCAGTACTTGAACTTCCTTTGTTATCGCGACACGCGCATCTCGCAATTAATGCACACCGTCGCCGCCACGTGCCGCTTTCCCTCGTCTTTCACTGCTTTAGTACTTATCACACAGTTGCGATTCGAAAACAAAAATGGGAATAATAGGTATATCGTATAGCTGAAAAGTGCGATCGAGTGGCGCTTCCGGTAGTTTTGTCAGTTCCGGCCAATTAAAAAAAAAAAAAAAAAAAAAACGTTACGTGCGTGTCATTCAATCGTGAACCCAAAAACACATCCTTTGAAAAATCAACTTGAAAACTCGGACACATTTCCGGCAAAAAAAAAAAAAAAAAAAAAAAAAAAAAAAANTACAAATATGTACATACAACAAAATATTATATCCACTGTAGCCTTTTTATGGCTCGATTACACTTAATATAATACATAAACAAAAATGACAAAAAATTAGTTTAAAACGTTCTGGTGGTAAAATAAAGAGAAAAAAAAAAAATCGCTTCGAAAAAAAGAGAGAAAAAGACAGTACGAACGCGTGACGACGACAACGTAAGAACTTGAGATATAAAAAAAAAAAAAAAAAAAAAAAAACCTTTGCTAGGCTGGTTTTTCATCTGATGTAATTGTTTCAACGTCATCATCACAATGTATACTTTAATTGATTTATTAATTTTCGTGGGATGGATTAAAATCAATGGAAGATGATGGGGAAAAAAAATGCCTAGTAGACTTTCAAAAAATCCCTTGATAGAACGCGCGCCTTGGGGTACATATACACCATGTCCTGTAAAACAACCAGGGAAGTATCAGAAAAAAAAGATGTGTATGTATACCTGTGCAGTGTGCCCTATACGGTCCTCAAAATTTATGAGTGTATAGGGGGAGGGGGAGAGAAATCTGAGGCCCAGCATGACTTTTCGGAAGGACGTGACGGTCCTTTCCGTTCGTCCTTTCAGTTTCAATAGAAAAAAAGGCACTAATTGTCTTAAATTGCCGGCAGTCTAGTCGCCCTCTCTCTCGAGCGTGAGTACCTCTCCGGAACATATGGCTCGCTCGGACGCTTGTATATATATGGACGGTAGGCATACAGAATAGGATCTCTCTTTCTGGCCTTTTCTTTAGCTCCTTTGCTTTTATTCGAGATAGTCCGAGGGTTCTGTAATTGCTTTGACAAAAGTCACGGAAAGGAAGATGCGCGTGTACGCAAAACGCAATCAGATGCGAGTCTCAAGACGTATACTCTTATACGATATGCTGTCTGTGGAGATGTTTCGTTACATTAATCCAGAGACAAATGTAAGGGTACCCTTATAACCAGTGGTGAGTAACAATTATTTGCGGGGTGGTTTTACCTCATCGCTTGGACGTCTTACCATTGATTTTTTTTACGCAGTACCTTCGAAAGATGATATAAAAGTGCCGCAACATTCGCTAAATTAATTCAAAGCCAAAAAGAGGATCATTGCTAGATGGAGCTTTTAAACATTTGTTCGACATGTTTTTTTTTCGTAGTCATTACGTGGTATCCTCGTGTATTTTTTGTTATTTTCATTTACAGTGTTCCCACATCTTGGAAGGCTTTACCAAATTTTTGTAAAGACCTGATGGTGCAAGTTTTTTTTAAAGCAAGAATCTTCATGAACGAATATTTTTGGCTGTGCTCCTTGACATTGATCATAACGATGTCCTCCTCGTTATTTTATGAAAAAAAAAAAAACACAATGATATCTCTAAATGAAAACATCGAGCGCTTGAACTATTTTCGCACAACAGCATCTCATCGAGCAGAGAGCAAAACGTTTCAAAAAAGAATTACACCGAGTCAGATGACCGTCGCACAAAAAGAATTGTCAGTCAGGCAGAGAAAAAGAGGGGAGGGGGGGGGGAAACGAAAAAAAAAAAAAAAAAAAAAAAACCAAAAAAGCAAAAAATTTCTAAAATCTCACGGAGCGACGTGCAACTTTCCAAAGCACAACTAAACACATAAAAGTGCAGCATCACCCGGACACCCCGCGCGCACAGTGCACCATCCGTCTCTCTCTCTCTCTCTTCCTGCGTTCCGTTACGCGTCCCGTTCAGGTTCTTCCTCTGCCTCGCTCTGCGGGGGTGCGGCGACTTTTCCTCCCTGGGCTTTCACAGTCCCCGTTTCCCGGAACGCATTTCTCGACTTTTACGACCTCCCCGGCGCTCCTTTGTCGCCGTCGCTGGCAATTGTGTTTACACGTGCATCCGTGTGCTACAGTCATCGGGAAATGTCTTGTTTGCACCCCTCCCTCCTCCCACCCCCCGGACAGAAGAAGGAAGAAACGAGACGCGAGAGAGAGCGACGGGTGATATATTGCCCGGGCACCTACTTCTCTAATTGGCGCTCGAGTGCCCGGGGATGCACGGATTTTCACCCATAAACCTCCGGAGAGCAGCCGTTGCCGAACGAATTAGGTTAACCATCCCTAAGCGATGCTCCGAATCTGCGGAAAAAAAAAAATCCATCCAGGGGGAGGGGAAGAGCGTTTTGCTGGTCGGATGCGTGGGTGTAGGTGTGAGTCGTATATGTAGCCTGGCTGGGACGGCGATCGATGCGTGCGAAATTTACTGGGCGCGCGCTTGCGCGCGGAAAAGGGAGGACGACGCCCGGCCCGGGGGTGGCTTTTGTATATACATGTAGCGGGTGAGACGCCATCGCTATGCTGCGTGTACATTATATACGTGGAGATCGATTGAGACCCGAGGAAACGCGGCGCCATTGTTCGCTCGTGGCTTGGCTCGGGGTTTTTTTGCCAATTTTTCCCTCGTTCGCTGGGGGTATCTGTTTTTTGCTTCGAGTATTTTTTTTTTTTTTTTCCAGATTTTCAAGCGAATCCGAGTAGCTGAGCTTGCTACTCGATAACACTCACGTATGCAGTGTGTACTTTGTTACCTCGACAAAGAGTGGAAAAAAAAAAATGAATAAATACATCTAATTTATTTATCAATAAACGACAAATTGGCATGTATTATTTTATTGATTACTTTCGCCTGCTTTTCTTGCAATGATTTGAATGAATTATTTTTTTCACTTGTGTCTCTAATTCGGCTAATTTTTTTCTCTCTCTCTTTTTTGAGGTAGCGTACAGCACTTGTTCTTTAAAAGGCAATGCATTTAATTGAAAATGTATGTGTGATTACAAGTTAACGGACCATAAAAATTGTGTTATCTTACCTTCCCGTGTTCCTTGTCAAAGTCGCATTCTCGCGGATCGCCCCCAAAGTTGCCGGAACTAACGCCAAACACGAGCTGGAGGTTCGTGCCTGTGCCGGCGAAGGCAATCTCCGTGTGGCCCTCGCGACACCCGTTCTGGAAGCGAATCTGACGCTCCTCCAGAGGACGATCCCGGTGGCTCGTGTATTTTACCTGGCGGATTTTTTTTAAAAGGAGAAGAAAAAAAACAATGTATTTCCATCAGTTTTGCGACAAATAGGAAATATCCCGATAAAAAAAAAAAGGTTAAAAGAAAATGAAAGAAATTAATGGCCACTTACGTCACTCTCGCGGCTGAGCCGCCTGAAGAGCTCGTCGTTCTCGAACTTGTTCTTCTGGTCGGGAACGACCCTCGGCATTCTGAACAAAAATTTGGGCCTGGGCTGCTCGTAGATGCCCATACCGTCGAACGGCAACACCCCCATGCCCAGGCCTGCCCCCGTGTGGTCGCTCATCGCGTGCATCATCATGACGCTGGGGAAGCCCTCGCCGCGTCCCAGGTCCACTTTCAATATTTAAACGCTCGCGCGTTTATTTACCAGTGGGTATGGTGGTTTTATTGCCACAGGTGTACTTTATACGCACTCACGAAACCTTCACTACCGCTCCCACAATTTTTATCCCCGATGCACGAAACTCGATGCAATAGAAGTAACAACAGGATGATTAAAAAAAGAAAAAATTAATTGTTTTTCTTTTCGTTTTTTTTTTTTTTTCTTTTTGTTTTTTTTTCAATCGATCCGCACGCGTGGGCACGGGGTACGCGAGAGTAGCCCACTGACGTCCCGAAGGAGACTGAATCGGGTGTCGTACGCGATGAGTCGAAGCGCAGGGCTTTTTTCGTGGAGAAAACTGCCGCCACGCCCACCGAAACCCCCTCCGCTTCGAGGCAGAACTCGTTTGGCCATGGGTTGGCCAGAGTTTCCGGATAGTGGGGAGTGCCAAAGTACGGCCCACTCCGATGGACGCGAGAACCTATATATATGTATGTATGGTACACTGGCTTATGTAGTTTCAGTTTTTTTTTCCTTTTTTTTTTTTTTTTTTTTTCAGGGGTTCAAGGGGTGTATGTAGGATATTTTTATACATTGGTTGGGAGTCGTAAAATTCGCTGAAGGTTTTTTTTTATGCAAGACTAGGCACTCGATTATTTTTTTTTACTATTTAAACATAACATTAAATAATATTGGGATGAATAAAAAATTAAACAATGAAAAATAACCGCAACAGAGACTTACGTTTGTTTCGACAGGGAGAAATAAGTATCTTGTGTGCAAATTTACAAATTAATTTTAATGACACATGTACATACATATTCACGCTTTTGCATGCCGTACATAAAAAAATTTGCTAATTGTTTTCTATTTACTGATTTTCCTCATAAACGTGGTTATTCTTGCAATAATTCAAAGGTGGTGCAAGAATAATTTGTCTAGCGATATTTTTCAATGCTTTTTTCAACACTCTAAACTGGACGAGGGCCTAATAACAGTTTGGAGTACGGTTTAACAAATTACAAATAAGTTTTTACGTAAGGCATCATTTGCTATCTAGTTAGAAAAGAAAGAGCCATACCTATTAAAGATTAGCTTATAAAGACTCAAAAATTAGAAGCATCACAGAAACCTTTGCAAAAATATTCTTTAAAAATGAAATAATAACCACTGCCCACCACCATCAATAACCACCATCATCAAGATTTAGCAACAGAGACATGAATATGCAGAGGCAACTGTAAACAGACAAAAGCAGAGAAACTTGAGAGTTCTGTATAAAATATTATGAGACAAATAATAAGTTGTATAATAATAATATATATATATTGCAACAAAATAATAAATATAGAGATAGAAATATGCAAACGGTATCGTAAATTTGGAAAAAAAAAACTTTAAATAATAAACAAACAAATGTTTAGCAATAAAGAGACGTAGTGATGGAAAGACAATGTATAAGGAAAATAAGACAGTAACAGTATAAGAAATAACTAGGGTTTGCAAATAACAATAGTAAAAGAAGATCAAATGAAGAGATGGAAAAAGAAGATTATTTTTATTATTTGATTACTGGAAAAAAAGATGTCTTTACATTAATAAAATGTTGCTTAAATTATGTATAAAAGCTGATGTATTATCTTACGGACGCAAATTGATAAAACAGGACCATTCAAAACAGTATTGCTTAATGCACAAAGAATATTTTGTGTATCATTTAGTTTAACAATAATAATAATAATAATAATAATAATAATAATAATAATACTATTTATTGTTGTTGTTATTATTATTATTACTATTATTATTTATTATGAACATTAAAAATGTAAACAGTTTTAATATCGAAAATACATAAAAATAATTAAAAACTCGCAGAGATGATGGTTTGCTTTAATTAAATGTTCAAAAAATACCAAACAGTGAGTACATGAATATTACACAATGCGTAAATAAACAATAGTTTAGATAAAAGTGAATGAGGTTTAGATGCAACATCGAGCAAAAGCATTGCAAATAAAAATTAAAATATTTCTTCGGACTTGATATATTTTAAACAAGTATGTATTTTGTAATTAGTATTTTTTCAAGTACATATTTAAAATAAAAAAATTGTGTGCAAATTATAACACAAAATTTGTATGGATGAGAATCTTGACAGATTATTTATGTTACATTTTAGTTACAAATAGCACTAAGTTCAGCTTTAATTCCAGCAAATATAGATAAAAGAAAATGTAAGTGATGATACCAATTATGTAAACACAAACTTAACTGCATGATTGCTTGCACAGTGAAAAAAAAAATTGTCATGATTGCGTAATCACAAAAGCTGCAATTATAATTGTCTTAAAAAGTAAATCCATTCAAAATAAAGATTCTTCTTTAAAATTTATTTTTTATTTCTCGGTGAAATGATACAACTAAATTAATTTGTTAAAATTATTTGTGGTAAAATAATCAAGTTTAACAATATACTTGAGTGGAAAGAACAATTAAATTAAACGTAATGAAAGTAGGCTTAACATAACATAAGAATCACAAAAATTAAGTTGAAGAAAATTCTACGAAAATTGCGCAATCTCTTTTCAATCGGATGCATCGTAAAAATTACAGGAAAATGTTTGAAATTCATTTCTGATCAAATTATATCCTATATGCAAGCGGATACATGAGCGTTCCCGTGGTATCGTGGCCACGGAAACCAAATATACACAGCGTGTATCGAACAAACAGTTCAAAGCACAGTAGATAGAGTGATCCAAACAGTTGGCAAGTTTCCAAGTAAAAAAATCATTGTTTTGCGTATATGCACAATGTCCACATCTCGTAAAAGTAAATCTGCAAAATCTCGCGGTGGCGAATCACATGATGGCAAATCTATAAAATCTCGTCAATGCAAATCTGCCACCTACAGCTGGGAGCAACACTCCTTTGAACAGCATCGCTCGAGAGTAAGCTCTAATTATTTTTATTAACTAAATTATGTTTATTGTTTGGTATGTAAAAGTGCTTAGTAACAACGCGAAAATGATTAACAATCTTTTAGTAAGTTTGAAAATATCTACTGAAAAATTGAACAAAAAATTGTTATGGTTTTTAAAAAATAAATTCATCGATAACCCTTTGATAAAAATATAATCCAAATCATTGGTTAATTACGTGTACAAAATTATTGCTGCTAGAGAAAAGTTTTATTTATTTTTNTTGAACTTTATAAAACACCTTAGTTTATTTTTTGCCAAGAGCTTCTAGCTCGTGCAAGTGCAACAAATAAATTAATAAATATTAAAAAAATAAAACAACCATGATTTCATTTGTTATAAGCAAATTCTGCAACACAATGTCCTCGTGTGATAACACGTGCCGAGTGGAAAGGTTGCAAGCCTCGTTCGAGATAATAATAATTAATATACTTAGGTAAAAAACAAATTGCGTTGCATTTGTGTACAGGTTCGGCAGGCAACGCCTACGGTTAACATGAAAATGCCAGAGTACAGACCTCACGTGAGATATAATGCAAAAAGAACTCAGTTGGAAAGAGAGCGGCAAGCCCAGATTGCTCGGGACAATTTTATCCTCTTTAAACGGCTTACGGACATCATGAATGGCAAGCTTCAGCGCAAGTATCCCATTACCCAAGCAAAGTCGATGTGCATCAAGACTCGATGAAAACACGTGTATTTGGCCATTTACATCATTTTCACACCATTAGTATATTAGTGTTCGTGTGAATTTATATTATTCGCCATATAAATCCATCACCATCCATATCACGCATATTTATTTTCATTTATTTAACAAAAAAGCATACAATCGGACTGGTTGATCAAGTCAAACCTTTTTTACTGCTTACAACTGTACTTTTTACAAAGCGTGAACAAACATTTGTATCAAAACGTTTTCAATAAAAATATTTCAATGAGACGGTAATTTTATTATCAATTGATCAAAAAGGGCAAATTGACGCTTTCACCACGAAATTAATGTAAATATTGTTTTTAATTCTTAAAAAATTCTGATGTAAAAATAAGTAGCTTTTATGACTATTATTAAAGGGCTTATCTGTTGAACTGAAACGCCAATCGATCATTAAATAACATTCAACAACGGGAGAAAACAAGTAACTAAATTGATGGAATTCACTTAGGTCGTGCTTCTAAGGCATCACAATCAGCGCATCAGGTGCTGGACCAAAAAGTGTTATTGAAAATGCGAGATTTTACTTTATTCTCAATAATTAAGTACACATTTTTTTAAGGAATTTAAAAAAGCTACTACTGTAAAATAAATTTTTGATTATTCCACGAAACATATTTAATTCTAGACAAAAGCGTATAGTTAAAAGAAGTGCTTTTTGTAACAACAAAAACCTTTAAAAAAAATTTTCTTTTGATTTAATTATCTGTTGAATTGGAAGTATTTACTTTAAACTTTTTAAAAAATGTGAGATGGGGTCTTACGGGTTGTATATAATAGTATTAATTATGTGGTTATGATGAATGTACTAGTGATTAGTAGTAATGATGGTGATCTTAATCATGATGACGATGAAAAATGATGATGAAATAATAACTATATCAATGACAATGACCATGATGGTGTTCATATTGAAGATGACCAACAGTAACTGCATCAATAATATGTGAAAAAATTATTAGGACACTCCAATAGCTCTCTAGTTACAGATTTGAAAGACAATAAGTAAGTATGGATAGATGCCTCGTTACGTTACCACACCTTACTTTGTTCCGCGATACTGAGTATAGGTATAGCCGTGTTATCATTAAATAACCCTATTTATAGTAACCGTTATCACACCGCAAGATAAATGACGAGTACTTGGTACACTGATTCCTCCCATCTGCCGTAATTAAGAAAACCGATTTTTTGTGCTTGGATTATTTCAAAACTCGTTGAAATTCATGAATAAAGTCGTCATCGATGCATTTGATTTTCAACGTCAATGCATCAGTCGATCTTCATTCATTCAATATATTCAGGGTAAAAGGGATGAATAAAACCTCAAGCAGAGCATGTTTCCCACGCAAGGTGATTATACCTCACTAGCTTCTTCGGCCCATCGGAGCTTATTTTCAAATACCACGTATACTTATCTCTACGACTATATTCACGACGATTTGTAAAAAAACACTTTACGCAATAAATAACGAAACTTTGATGATTCCTCATAAATCATATATATAAACGTGTCAACATATATTTCATTGTTATCTCAGATAATCTTACAGCTGTCTTATGTAATCTGATCGACCAAAAAAAGTGCATAATCGATTACAAATAATTTTTTTTAATAAATCGGCAACGCGGTACATTATTCAAGTGCATTTTTATGAGCGCATGAGACATCATAGTCACCGGCTAGTCGAAGATAAATGGAAAAATAGCATTTTCCGCAGTAATAAAACAATTACACTTTCAACAATTCTACTTATGTCAGCTGCGGTGTAATTTGCAGAAGCGGCATCAACAACACTTCCGACCACGATCGTTAACTTAATACAAAATCGGGGAGTCCCAAGAAATACTGTCAGCCATGCAGTTGGAGCTTGTCAACTTTAACTCTTCAGTAAACATTTACTCTTCGGCTCGTGCTTTCCTAACTTTGTTACCGCGTTATAACTTTAAAATAAGTACATGCATAATATACATACTGTACTCGCGTGAAAATGGAAAAGCGTAGTTTTTTTGCAATTGTTTATCTGTTGTACGTTTTTTTCTCGTACGTTGGTGCTCAAAGTGACAAGGGTATCGCAAGTTGTAATTTTTTTTTTTTTTTTTTTTTTTTTTTTCACAAGTGAAGTGTGATACTTAATCTTACTCAATCATTTGTGCATCTGGTGATTTATTGCGTTTACATAAAAACTCGCGTGTAATTGTAAACGTTCCTCATTCATTTTTATGAAAAGTATGTTGACATGGACTTTTTTTTTGCGCGGTTAAGTCACGGCCAAGGTAAAAGTACTACTTAGTTGGTGGAACGTAAAACGAAATACGTAGTCTCATAGAGAAAACTTTTTTACCGTGCTCTGTATCTTTCATCAGAATCATAGGTTTAGCCCTAGTTTTTTTATTTAATTGTAAAAAAAAAACAATAACGCTATCTTGCAGTACTAAAAATATGTACGGAAAACAACTAGTCCAGTCTACCGGATTAAAATTATTTTTTTGTGGGCCTACGTTTATTAAATTTATTTTAGGTAGCAAAAAAAAAAAAATTTTTTTTAAATCTTTTTTCGTTAAGTGATTTTGTAAAATTTTAAAACAAACACCTGCCACAAACATTTCGTGTCGTAATAATGAAACATTTTATTTACTTGTGTAAACTATACCTATGACGCCTTTGCAATCGAATGTGAAGTAATTTTTATGTTTATGCCAAAGCACGTTTTTACAATAACTTTAGAAAATTATTCACTATTTTTCAACGATTCATCAACGAAAAAAAAAAAANTCAGGCCAGTTGGACAAAGTTGACAATCAGTTGTGAGTTTATTTACAGGATTTTTTGTAACAGTGCAGCCAAAGCTTTTCTCATGGCTCAAGTCATTTTTCGTATTACTAATCGAAAGCTCGTGCAAGTGCAACAAATAAATTAATAAATATTAAAAAAATAAAACAACCATGATTTCATTTGTTATAAGCAAATTCTGCAACACAATGTCCTCGTGTGATAACACGTGCCGAGTGGAAAGGTTGCAAGCCTCGTTCGAGAGAAAAAATGCCACTCACGCCAGTACCTTACGTAGTAATCCATCATGGTGGTATTGCCAAGTACTGCCATGATAAAATCACCTGCTCGGAGATAGTACGCTCTTATCAGAAACTCCACATGGACGAGAATCATTGGGTCGACATTGGATATTCTTTCGTTATTGGAGAGGATGGGAACATTTACGAAGGTCGTGGTTGGGACAACGTTGGTGCTCACGCACCCAAGTACAACAACCAGAGCATTGGCGTTTGCATCATCGGTGATTTTACGAGTACGTGTGGATTGCAATTTTTTTTTTTTTTTTTTCGTCTATGGTATTACCTCCTTTAATATTTCCGGGAAAAACATTGAATTATATAACTGGGTCTTTTGTTAATAAATTAGCGAACATTGAACGGTTCTTTTGAATATTGTATACTATTTCCTCTTATGAAGCAAATTACCAAGCTTAACAATAATTAGTCAACATGTACTTGTTCGATCAATCACTTGTAAATGAGGCTTATTAAAATGTTTGCTTGCTAATTTTTCACGTTCTTTCGGTGATAATTAATAATTAAATCGATATAAACACATCCACCATAGTGATAAATTTGCATATCGTTATGTAAATAATTGAATATGCTATTGTTTTTAAGAAAAATTGTAAAAGGTCGTGAACAATCATCAAAAATGTTGTTTGTCGATTACAGAATTTATGCCAAACGGGGCTGCGTTGAGGGCACTGAGTTCGCTCGTAGAGTGTGGAGTTAATTTTGGCAAAATAAGCAAGGATTATCGTGTGGTGGGCCACAGACAAGTGCGGGATACCAAGTGTCCGGGTGAGACTTTCTACCAGTACGTGCAAAGTTTACCTCAATGGGCTAATAACCCTGTGCCGACAGTGTGATGCGAAAAATCGGTGCAAAAATTAATTTATCCATTGCGTTTGAGTAAATATTTTTTGTCAAAATAACTGTGTGATTACTTAGTGGTTGGCAAGGTTTATTTGTAGGATAATTTTAAACTTATTTTAAATTTGAATTTGTTTTTTTTTTTTCCAGTATTGTTGATCTTAAATAGTTTTGATTAGTAAATTTTTCAATTATTTGTCTAAATTATTATTTTAGCATAAAACGATACTTCTAAGATGTATACAACTTGTTAGCTGAATAATTATTAATCTGATAAGAGTTTATGATTTCATATCTGAAAAATTGCATTTTTCATTTTTTTTTTTTTTTTTTTTCAATCAATGCAATATTAAAGCTTATGCTGTAATCGCGTGTAATAATCTGAACAAAACACGATGGAAATGATAAAAACGACGTAATTGTGATGACGCGCAGTTTGCGTAACTTTTGAATTGGACTTTTGTCACCACAACAAATATAAAAAAAAAAAAAAAAATTCGAATGTATGTATGACTAACAAGTAGTCTAAGTTGTTCTAAAAATAAAAGTACATCCGAGTTAGAAGATGTTAATTCCATTGCACTTATTTTGGAAATAATAAATTTCAGAATACATATATATATTTTAGTAATCTGTACACACTTGCCATAAAAGTTTATTACTTGTTTATTTTAATTTTTCAGGTTATAAAATTACATGTAAAATTTAAAGAAATAATATTTATGCATACCTTTTGTCTCACTTCCCAAGAAATTACATAAGTAAAGCGATATACTAGTTTAGTGCATTTTTAT